TTCAAATCATTTATCATGAAGAGTTGATCTTTTAAGAATATCTTCAGAATAAAAATAAATTATTAAAATTAATGTAAAGTATATATATATAATAATAATAATGATATAAATCATATAATAAATTAAAAAATCAAAATTAAAGATATTAAAAACAAATATTGATTAAATTAGAAAAATCTAAAATATAAAAAAGATATTTTCTTTATAAATCTAAAAAATCTAAATATAAATATTATAAAAATTGAAAAAACATAATATGATCAATAATGTTTCAATTTTTAAATTTTTATTATTAATTTATGGATTTAACAATTTAATATAGTAATAAATATAATATTATATATTTTTAATTATTTTTATAAATTAAAAATAAATTTATATTTTTTGATTATTACAAATTTTATTGCGTTAAAATATTCTAAATTATGTTATGAGAAGAAATTAGAATAATTATATTAAAATAACCACATGTTAAATCGACTACTAGTCGGTCAATATTATACTATTAATTATTTCAATTCGTGTAAAATTAAAAATACTGAAGTATGCAAGATTTGTAAGTCTTCTGTTTATTAAATTCTCTATATCAACGATAGTTTGATCATCTCTTCTCAAATAATAAATGCACTTTGAATTCGACTGTTTTCAAAGCGATCTCTTGATCTCCTCTTTGGACTTTGTTCCTCTGTCATAAAATATTCATGAAAATGTATTGCTGTGCACGTGGCACATTTCACTGTCAGTATACCAATGGAGTTCATTTCGAGAAATTAAGAACGAAATACAGTATCGACGAGAACATACTTGTACATTATACAATACAAGAAAGAGTGAGTGAAATCTTATCAATTTTACACGGTAACTAATTACATCGTACGAATATATACGATAATCGAATTTTTGAGGTTCATACATCAACGCGTGATTGGATCGGAATTTTTCCAAGAGGATGGACCAATTTACAGCAATATCTTACATTTGAATACATCACTGTATCACCTAAGAATCTATCGAATTTATCCAATCGAAATATTACGTTTTTACATACTTTCCATCGAGAGGTTATTAAATATTATTATAATAATGCTATAAGGTAGATGATTCTTAAATTTAATGAATTCGAGGATTTTCTTTTATTTTAATTCCTAATCTTTTTCAAAATTTATTATTTCAATCTTTGATTTTTTTCAATCTTTTTAAAAATTTATTACACTTTCATGTACGAGAAATGCTAAGAATTTATTGAATAAAAGAATGCTAAAAAATAATTTGAATGAAATTGGAATTACATGATATTTTTATTATATTTTTCATAATTGAATAAAATGTCAAATTTTAATTTGAAAATTCTTTTGATCTTAAGAGGTTCACGAATCATAATTTAAAATCATAAATTTTAAATTTAAAAAATTTGATATAAGAAATCTTAATAGATCTTTTTAATTTTATAGAACAAATTACAGTTCATTCAAAATATTTAAGAATCTAAATAATTTATAAATCATAATAATTAAAACAATTTTCGATTTCCATCATTATTTATTAAAAACTTCATATACAGGCACTGCCAAACGTCGATTATCAATTCGTTTACGTGAGCAAAGAAATAGAAATCTTAGGAACTAGCTCTTATTTC